CCTTGTTTTTTCTTTATTCCAAGAGAAAGTTTTCAACATTTCACCATTAAGTATGATAACATGTATAGGATTTTGAAGAAATCCTTTATCAATAAACCCATTCCTAATTTACTTAAGGGATTTTTTTATAATCATAAATGTTGGTTGAATTTTTCTACATTATTGAAATAATCATATGATTTTTCTCCATTATTTTGTTAATATGACACATTATATTAATTTATTTGCAAAATTTATTTAATCTAAAATTCCCTGAAACTCAAGTTCCTTATGATGTACTTAATGTGTTATCTATTTTAGATATTGCTGGATTTGGCTTGCTATTTCCTCATGTTTATAAGTAATTTTAATTTTACTTTTTTGTCATAGCCTTATCAGATTTTGGGTTGAAGATATGCTGGCTTGCCAAAATGAGTTCATAAAAATCATAAGAGTATCCTCTTTTTTTCCAAATCTTTTGGAAGAATTTTGAAAGTATGGCAATATTTATTTCTTAAACATATTTTAGAATTTACCAGTTAATCTGTCTGAACTGCAGCTTTCTTTGTAGAAAAATTTTAAATTGAAATTTTAAAAATTAGACATTTTTTAAAAAACTGTAAGAATATTCAGATTCTCTGTTTCTTTTTGGGTCAGCATTGAACTAAATATATTTTTTAAATATCTACATGGTTTGTAACAATCTGCTTTTTATTCTTAACATATTATTTTTGTCTACTTTTTTTTTCATCTTTTTCTTAATCAGCCTTTTGGTTTTTTATTTCATTTATTTTTTTCTTTATTACAATTTATATAAATAATATAATAAATGCATAATATAATGTTATTGTGTATTTATTATTTCCTGCTCTCTAGTTTCTTTGGGTTTGTTTTGCTAGTCTTCTAACTTCTTGAACTAGAGATTAAGTTCATTAATTTCAGCCTTTTTTTTTTAAAGTATTTGCATTTGAGGCTACATATTTCCTAAGCACTACTTTTACTGCAGGTTTTTATTTGTATGATTTTCCTATTAATTAGTTAAGAGTAGTTTTTTAGTTTCCGGTATAATTTCTTTCTTGACCCATGGATTATTTACAAGTGTATTTTTATTTGCTAATATTTTGGATTTTCAAGTTTTTTGTCATTTGTCTAGCTTAGTTGGATTTTGGTCAGAAAACGTTCTTTAAAATTTGTTGAGACTTGCTTTATGGGCCAGTAGATAGACAATCTTTGTAAACACTTTGTACATTATTGAAAATAATGTGTATCATGTTGGGTAGTGTTACATCTATTTCCATTATGTCTAGATTGTTGACTGTGTTGCTTGAATATTCTATATTCTTGTTTTGTTTTATGTTTGGTTTACTTTCTTTAACAGTTGCTGTGTGTAATTATGGCTTTGTTTTGTTTTTTCTTAACAGGAATTTGGAATACTTTAGCAGTATTTACTCTACTCCCAATTTATATGCAATGATTATCATATATTTGAATTCTATATGTACATTTCAAACTATATAAGTATGATAAATATTATTATTTTATGTAGTCAGTATTTATTTCTATTTATCTGAATTTTTACCATTTCTATTGTTTTCTTTCCATCCTTAACCTCCTTCTATTTGATATCATTTTCCTTGTTCCTGATGAATATGTTTCTGGTTTCATTCACTGGATTTGCTGGTAGTAAATTGTTTCCTTTTTATTTATTTTATATTTACTCTGGGAGTATATTTTGATTGGGTAAAAAAATTCTACTTTGGCAAATTAGAAATGTCATACTATTATCTGCTGGCCTAATTGTTTCTGTTGAGAGATCAGCTCTCAGGCTATTTCTTTCATAGTAACCTACTTTTTCCTGTTTTTATCTTTTTCATTATTTTTCTTTTATTTTACTATGATGTGTTGAGATATGGATATAATTTTGTTTATCCTGAATTGAGTTATAGAAGTCCTTGAATCTATGATTTGCTGTCTTTCAGCATTAAAAAAAAAAATTCAGTCATTTTGTCTGCAAACATTGCTTCGTCCCATTTTCTCTGTTATTTCTTTCTGGCACTCTGTTTAAATTATATTAGACCTTTACACCTTGTATTCTATCCTTTATGGGTTATGTTTGTCTTTCTCTTTTCCCCTGTGTTCTGTCTTATCTCTCCATCTGAAGTCTGGATATTTTATTCTGAACTCTCTTCCAATTCACTAATTTTCTCTTCATCTGTATCTAATATGCTATTTAATCTACCTACTAATTTCTTATTTTTGATTATTGTATTTTATATTATATTTTTTACTTTTTTGGAGGGACCAAATGTGCTGTAACATTTTTTATTGTTTCTAGGTTTCACCTGAAATTTTTGAATATTATTATTTTTTTAATCAATTTATTTATTTTTTATTGTACTTTAGGTTCTGGGGTACAAGTGCAGATCATGCAGAATTGTTGCATAGGTACATAAATAGCAAGGTAGTTTGCTTCCTTCATCCCCCTATCACCTATATCTGGTATTTCTCCCCTTGTTATCCCTCCCCACCTTCCCCACTCACCGCTGTCCCTGACCTAGCCCCCTCAACTGACTGCAGTGTATGATGCTCCCCTCCCTGTGTCCACATGTTCTAACTGTTCAACACCTGCCTATGAGTGATCATATACGGTGTTTGGTTTTCTGTTCTTGTGTCAGTTTGCTGAGAATGATGGTTTCCAGATTCATCCATGTCTCTACAAAGGACACGAATTCATCACTTTTTATGGCTGCGTAGTATTCCATGGTGTATATGTGCCATATTTTGATTATCCAGTCTATCATTGAAGGACATTTGGATTGGTTCCAGGTCTTTGCTATTGTAAACAGTGCCATAATGAACATACGTGTGCATGTGTCTTTATAATAGAACAATTTATAATCCTTTGGGTATATACCCAGTAGTGGGATTGCTGGGTCAAATGGTATTTCTATTTCTAGGCTCTTGAGGAATCGCCACACTGTCTTCCACAATGGTTGAACTAATTTGCACTCCCACCAACAGTGTAAAAGTGTTCCTATTTCTCCACATCCTCTCCAGCATTTGTTGTCTCCAGATGTTTTAATGATCGCTGTTCTAACTGGAGTGAGATCATATCTCAATGTGGTTTTGATTTACATTTCTCTAATGACCAGCGATGTTGAGCATTTTTTCATATGTTTGTTGGCCTCATATATATCTTCTTTTGAAAAGTGTCTGTTCATATACTTCGCCAACTTTTGAATGGGTTTGTTTGTTTGTTTCTTATAAATCTATTTTAGTTCTTTGTAAATTCTAGGTAGTAGCCCTTTGTCAGATGGGTAGATTGCAAAAATTTTTTCCATTCTGTTGGTTGCCAGTTCACTGTAATGATTGTTTCCTTTGCTGTACATAAGCTCTGGAGTTTAATTATATCCCATTTGTCTATTTTGGCTTTTGTTGCCAACACTTTTGGTGTTTTAGCCATGAAGTCCTTGCCTATGCCTATGTCCTGAATGGTTTTGCCTAGGTTTTCTTCTAGGGTTTTTATGGTGTTAGGTCTTATGTTTAGATCTTTAATCCATCTGGAGTTAATTTGAGTGTAAGGGGTCCAGTTTCTGCTTTCTGCACATGGCTAGCCAGTTTTTCCAACACCATTTATTAAACAGGGAATCCTTTCCCCATTGCTTGTTTCTCTCATGCTTGTCAAAGATCAGATGATTGTAGATGTGTGGTGTTGCTTCTGAGGCCTCTGTTCTGTGCCATTGGTCTCTGTATCTGTTTTGGTACCAGTACCATGCTGTTTTGATTACTGTGGCCTTGTAGTATAGTTTGCAGTCAGGCAGCAGGATGTCTCCAGCTTTTTTCTTTTTGCTTAGGATTATTTTGGCTATGCAGGATGTCTTTTAGTTCCATATGAAGTTTGAAGCGTTTTTTTCCAGTTCTGTGAAGAAGGTCATAGGTAGCTTGATGGGGATAGCTTTGATTCTATAAATTACTTTGGGCAGTATGGCCATTTTCACAATATTGATTCTTCCCAACCATGAGCATGGAATGTTTTTCCATCTGTTTATGTCCCCTCTTATTTCATTGAGCAGTGGTTTGTAATTCTCCTTGAAGAGTTCCTTTACATCCTTTGTTAGTTGTATTCCTAGGTATTTTATTCTCTTTGTAGCAATTGTAAATGGCAGTTCACTTTTGATTTGGCTCTGTGTTTGTCTGTTATTGGTGTACAGAAATGCTAGTGATTTCTGCACATTGATTTTGTATCCTGAGACTTTGCTGAAGTTGCTTATCAGTTTAAGTAGATTTTGGGCTGAGATGATGGGGTCATCTAAATATGCAGTCATGTCATCTGCAAATAGAGACAATTTGGCTTCCTCTTTTCCTAATTGAATACCCTTTATTTCTTTTTGTTGCCTGATTGCTCTGGCTAGAACTTCCAGTACCATACTGAATACGAGTGGTGTGAGAGGGCATCCTTATCTTGTTCCAGATTTCAAAAGGAATGCTTCCAGTTTTTGCCTATTTAGTATGATATTGGCTGTTGGTTTGTCATAAATAGTTTTTATTATTTTGTGATACGTACCATCAATACCTAGTTTATTGAGGGTTTTTAGCATAAAGTGCTGTTAAATTTTGTCAAAGGCCTTCTCTGCATCTATTGAGATAATCATGTGGTTTTTGTATTTGGTTCTGTTTATGTGATGGATTACATTTATAGACATGCTATGTTGAACCAGCCTTGCATACCCAGGATGAAGCCTACTTGGTCATGATGCATAAGCTTTTTGATTTGCTGTTGCATTCTGTTTGCCAGTATTTTTTTTTTAAGATTGTTTCTTCAGTGTTCATCATGGATATTGGCCTGAAGTTTTCTTTTTTAGGTGCATCTCTGCCTGGTTTTGGTATTAGGATGATGTTGGTCTCATAAAATGAGTTGGGAAGGATTCCCTTGTTTTGTATTGTTTGGAATAGTTTCAGAAGGAATGATACCAGCTTCTCTTTGTATGTCTGGTAGAATTTGGCTGTAAACCCATCTGGACCTGGACTTTTTCTAGTTGGTAGGCTATTAATTGCTGCCTCAACTTCAGACCTTGTTGTTGGTCTATTCAGGGATTCAATTTCTTCCTGGTTTAATCTCAGGAGAGTGCAAGTGTCCAGGAATTTATCCATTTCTTCTAGATTTACTGGTTTGTGTGCATAGAGTTGTTTGTAGTAATCTCTGATGATAGTTTGTATTTCTGTGGAATCAGTGGCGATGTCCCCTTTATCATTTTTTATTGCATCTATTTGATACTTCTGTTTTCTTTTTTATTAATGTAGCTAGTGGTCTATCTATTTTATTGATCTTTTCAAAAAACCAGGTCCTGGATTTATTGATTTTTTGAAGGGATTTTTGTGTCTCTCTCTCCTTCAGTTCTGCTGTGATCTCGGTTATTTCTTGTCTTCTGCTAGGTTTTGAGTTTTTTTGATCTTGCTGATCTAACTCTTTCAATTTTGATGACAGGTGTTGATTTTAGATCTTTCCTTGCTCCTCATGTGTGCATTTATTGCTATGAAATTCCCTCTAGACACTGCTTTAAATGTGTCCCAGAGAGTCTAGTATGTTGTGCCTTCATTCTCACTGGTTTTGAAGAACATCTTTATTTCTGCCTTCATTTCATTGTTTATCCAGCCTACCTTCAGGAGCCAGTTATTCATTTTCCATCAAGTTATGCAGTTTTTGAGTTAGTTTCTTAATCCTGAGTTCTAATTTGATTGCACTGTGGTCCTAGACACTGTTTGTTATGATTTCTGTTCTTTTGCATTTGCTAAGGAGTGATTTACTTCCAATTATGTGGTCAACTTTAGAGTGAGTGTGATATATGCTTAGAAGAATATATATCCTGTGGATTTGGGGTTAAGAGTTCGGTAAATGTCTATTAACTTCGCTTGGTCCAGATCTTCATTCAAGTCCTGGATTTCCTTCTTGATTTTCTGTCTTGTTGATCTGTCTAATATTGTCACTGGAGTGTTAAAATCTCCCACTATTATTGTGTGGGAGTCTAAGTCTCTTTGTAGGTCATTAAGATCTTTCCTTTATGTATCTGGGTGCTCTTGTATTGGGTGCATATATGTTTAGAATAGTTAGCTCTTCTTGTTGTATGGATCCTTTTACCATTATGTAATGCCCTTCTTTGTTTCTTTTGATTTTTGTTGGTTTAAAGTCCGTTTTAACAGAAACTAAGATTGTCACCCCTGCTTTTTTTTGCTCTCCATTTGCTTGGTAAATCTTCTTCCATCCCTTTATTTTGAGTCTATGTGTGTCTTTTCAAGTGAGATGGGTCTGCTGAATACAGCACACTAATGGTTCTTTGCTTTTTATCCAATTTGCCAGTCTGTGTCTTTTGATTTGGACATTTAGTCCATTTACATTTAATGTTAATATTGTTATGTGTGAATTTGATCCTGCCATTTTATTACTGGTTGGTTGTTTTGTCCTTTGGTTGCCGTAATTTCTTCATTGCATCTTTGGTCTTTACCATTTGGTTCTTTTTTGCAGTGGCTGGTACTAGTTTTTCCTTTCTGTCTTTAGTGCTTCCTTCAGGAGCTCTTGTAGGGCAGGTCTGGTAGTGACAAAATCTCTCAGCAATTGCTTGTCCGTAAAGGATTTCATTTATCCATCACTTATAAAGCTGAGTTTGGCTGGATATGAAATTCTGGGTTGAGAGTTCTTTTAAGGATGTTGAATATTGGCCCCCCACTCTCTTCTGGCTTGTAGGGTTTCTGCCGAGAGATCTGCTGTGAGTCTGATGGGCTTCCCTCTGTGGATAACCCGACCTTTCTCTCTGGCTGCCCGTAGTATTTTTTCCCTTGTTTCAACCCTGGTGAACCTGACAATTATGTGCCTTGGGGTTACTCTTCTAGAGGAGTATCATTGTGGTGTTCTCTGTATTTCCTGTATTTGAATGTTGGCCTGTCTTGCTAGGTTGGGGAAGTTCTCCTGGATAATATCCTGAAGAGTGTTTTCCAGCTTTGATTCATTTTCCCCAACATCTTCCGGTATACTGATGAGGTGTAGATTAAGTCTTTTCATGTAATCCCTTATTTCTTGAAGGCTTTGTTCATTTCTTTTCACTCTTTTCTTGCCTTCTTGTTTTATTTCATTGATTTGATCTTCAATCTCTGATATCCTTTCTTCTGCTTGACCTATTCAGGTATTGAAACTTGTGTGTGCTTCATGAAGTTCTTGTGCTGTGTTTTTCAGCTCCATCAAATCACTTATGTTATTCTCTAAGCTGGTTATTCTAGTTAGCATTTAGTCTAACCTTTTTTCAAGGTTTTTAGTTTCTTTGCATTGGATTAGAACATGTTCCTTTAACTCAGAGAAGTTTGTTATAACCCACGTTCTGAAGCCTGCTTCTGTCAATTCATCAAATTCGTTCTCTGCCCTGTTTTGTTCCCTTGCTGGTGAGGAGTTGTGATCTCGTGGTGGGGGAGAGACGTTCTGGTTTTTGATGGTTTCATTCTCCTTGCACTGGTTTCTTCCCGTCTCATTGGATTTACATAGTTTTGATCTCAGGTAGCTGCTTGGGGAGGCAGCCTTTCCTTTGTCTACCTGCAGAGGTGCTGCTGGGCTGCCACAGATGCAGTGGATCTGCTGCGTCTTTTATTTACGGCTTCTGCAATGGTGGCTTCCCTTCCCCCAGCTGAGCTTGATTGTTCCTGGTCACTCTCTAACTGGTGTTCTGGGTGTGCAACTCTGGAGTGAGAGTTTTTTTAGCCTGCTGGGCTTTGTGCAGGGAGGGGAGGGGACCTGTCCTGCTGTATGGGCTGTTTCCCTGTGTTCAGTTCCCCTTCTTTCTGGGGTGTGGGTAACTCCAGCCCTCCAGCTTTTTGGCTTTCTCGGTGACAGCCAGTGTTTCGCTAGATTTATGCTGACAGCCCCAGTGCTGGCCAAAGTTGCTGTTCTGCCCTCTTCAGGCAGCTTGCTGAGGCTTTTCAGCCTGGGGAAGATCTCCTGTTCTGTGGGTTGTAGAGGGCTTGGGTGGAGTGCTGTATCCAAACCGAAGTCCCACAGGGGGAGATCCCCTGGTCCTCCGGTCGGTTGCACGCACCTCCTGGGTGGGGCAGTGCCCCACCTTGCCTCAACTTGCCCTATTTGGTTTGTACCCATTGTCCAACCAGACCCACAAAATGAACCTGGTACCTCATTTGGAATTGGGGAGACCAGTCAGTTTCTGCATCTCTCTTGCTGGGAGCTGCTTTCAGAGTTGCCTCTTAGTTGGCCATCTTGGGATCTTGTCTCTTGAATATTATTTTTTATCTTGTTGCACTTGGCAAGCAAGTTATTTTAAAACAATCCTATTAATTTCATATCTGGGGTTCCTACAGTACTATTTTCATTGTTTGTTGTTTCTAATGATTCTCTTTATGCAAACCAGTCTACTTATGTGTCAGGTTATCTTGGATTGCATACCACACATTGTATATAAACTTTTATTTGTGAAATGAGTTGATACCTAGGATAATGTTACTTTCTGTAGCTAGGATTTTCATTTGATTTGTAGGCACTTGCAGATGCTAGCAATCCAGAATGACTTTTATTCAATTTCAGTAATTGATATTTCTAGATCTAAATGGGAGTGCTGGATTATTTATGGTTCACCTTTCTTTTTAAAGCAAAGCCCTGTAGAGTCCCAACTCAGAGTGTTATCAGAGCACCCAGCTTCAACAGGTCCTAGAATCTATTCCATGTCAAACCCTCCATAATTTTTCTCATACTTGGGTTAGAGCATGAGATTATTTTAGTGTGTATAACAAGCAAACCTAACAGCTCAGGACTGGAATGACTGCTACATTAAGTTTCCTGAGAGTCAGGGTTCTTACAGCTTACTATTACTCCTCTATCAGATGTCATCCAAATCCTCAAGGTCCCTGCAGTTGTTAGAGTGCCAGTGTCACATCTATATTCCAGGCAGTTGGATTTGGGGGTGAATAAGAAGGTTGGAGAGAAAGCATTCCTCCTTCTTCTTAAAAAGTATTTTTGGAGGATCTAAACAATACTTCTATTTATATTTTATTGGCCAGAATGTAGTCACATCATCATGCCTAGCCACAAGAAAAGATGATTAATGTAGTTCTTTACCTGTACAAAATATGCCCAGCCAAAATTAGTGTCTATTCACTAAGGAGGAAGGGAGAATCAATATTAGGAGTGAACATAACAGTCTATGCCTCAAAGAACTATGGATTAAGAAATAAAGAGTGATAGTGAATTTATTGAAAGACTAAATGAAGTTGTTGTACAAAGATTAGATTTGCTAGGATGCCTTATCCTAATGCAACCACTAACATTAGGAGGCATTATGAGGAAAGAAATCAAAGTTTGAGAGCCTGGATTGGAGAAAAATATATATTTGAAAAAGAAAAAAAACTAAAAATTTGTGAGCAAAAAGGATAGGTGAAGGGTAAATTTCTGGACATTTGGATACAGTTTAGAAAACTTAAAAATAAATGCCAAGCGCATATTTTTTAGATGAAACATTTTTGTGCTATACTATTAGTTGTGCAGGAATTAAAATAAGAACACCTTCAAAAGTGTGATTGTTGCTTTCATAATAGTTTCAGCACTTGTATCTACCTTTTAATTAAACACATAACAATATGTTTCTTACTCCTGAATTATTTTCTCCAGGATACATCCATAACAGCACTTTGGCTAGCTAAGTTAATGAAGAATTATGCAAAGCACCTCCAGAGGATTTTATAGTGATGTCAAAGGGTAATCCAAGATGTGTTGCAATGCAGGTTAGCGTGTACATTTCCAAATAACTACTTGGTTTGGGAACCATCCATTTACTTAAAATGTTGTCCTGTAGTTCCTATATTTGGTGAATTCTCCCCCGAGCCTCAGATTATAATACATACATATGCTATTAATTTTCTAGTGACTCATATATCATTATAACAATACTAGATCCAGTGATCCAGTATTGATCATTGGATCTAAATTCTAAGTGCCAAGTCATGTTTTGAAATGCAAATCTACATTGTACAATACCTTTTGACTTCTTTTTCCATCAGGGCATTCTTACCTCTAGCCTGGTCTTTAAAATATCATAGCTTAGTAATAATCAGTCTTTGATGCTAGAAGCTGAAGTTAAGAAAATGCATTTAACTTTATGACAAAAAATTCTTGGAGGGAAAAAATGTGCTTTTTTTCTTAGTTCATTTAAAAGCTAATGAAAGTTTAGTCTTAGGAGGGAAAAGAGAGATCAAACTTTATTTCTTTTGCCTGCTTGCCAGATGATGCTAACAAGTCATTGTCCTTTCTCACTCAGGCATAAGTGCCTGAAAACTCATTTTTCTTCTGCTTACCATTGCCTTAACCAGTAATACTCTTCTCAGACAGCAAGATACCTGAATGTCTAAACATTTATCTATACTAATACAGGCTCATTTCATGTGAATGCCTGCCAAGCAGGAACTAGGCTGTCAGCTTCATCCCATCAAAAACACTTTCAGTCCCAAGGACCGATGGCAGGTTCCAATTGTTAAGTCATTCTTGCTTGAACTGAATTTTAAAGTCAGGCTCCTACTGTTAAAGAATGGAGCTCAAAGAGGGCACTTAGCCAGAAATGTTGCAATTCTAAATATAATACTTTTGGATATGGAGTTTGTTCTTGCTGTCATTATTTTTCAAAATGTGGATACTGAGTAAAACTCTAGGACAGCAAATAATGTGTAAGGGCAACCAATACCGCATAATAGCCCTTGTTTTGGTACATTCACTTTGTAGTGATTTATTAAGGGAGACTGAAAAAGCCTGATTAAAATGCATAAACAGTGCTGAACAGTAAACAACCATGTCTAAGGATGAAAAAATGGGACCCACATGCTGTGCATGGAAATTGCCCTTAACAACATGGCCTATTGTTGAACAGATAGGAAGCCAAAGGTTGCTTGTAATCAAATTTGAAGTTTCCCATCACTTATAAAAGCTGCACTTCCTTGTGCAAACGTTTCAATTTGTTGTAGTTAGAAACTGCTTCCTGGCTTAATCCTTACAGAAACCAGGAGTTCTTGTGACTGTCAGGTGGATAGAAAAATTTAGACGTGGAGCCCACTAGACTTTACAAAATGGAACCAAGTTTGTATGTTGAAGGAGAAATAAAATCTAAAGAATTTACAAGAGCAAATTAAAGCAGCAAGAGACCTCAAGATGATTATTTCTCTTGTATTTCATTTAAACGGGAAATTTTTTAAGGGGCTGCATAGGTGCTCAAATCTCTACTATTTTCTCACTCAAAAATAAAGCAGATGTTAAAGGGAGGGCATTAGCTTGCTACACAGTCTGAACCATGTCTATGGAAAAATACTCAGAAAATTCAGTAATAATATGACACCTTTTTTCTCATGGGTTGAATTACATGGATACAAATATGGAGATTATTATGTAATGATAATCTGTGTTTTGTTATGAAGACCATTAATTACTAAGTAAGGAGACAAAAAGTTAACTGCTAAACTTTTAAGCCGTATTTACTCTTCAAATGTATCAACATAATACAGTATAAAGAAAAATAAAGAAATTTGAATAATTTCTTTAAAATATCATATTATATTCTGTAATGTCTTAATTATAT